AATTAAGTAAGCTGTGTCCTCATTTTAAACCCGTTTTGTGCTTACAAACAATGGCACATCTAAGTTATGTATGTCTTCATTTTAAATCCAATTCGAATTAACCATCATGACGTTTTGACTGAGTGTAGCTTTGCATGGCGGGTGATGCATTCCACCAGGTTATAGGAGACGCTTTACATTGTCGACTCAACCGGTATCGCTCCTTCAAGAGGTATGTTTGTTACCTTGATTTGTCTCCTCATAATCGATTTACGAGGTAAAATTGGTAAAAAGTAAAATAACAAAAATATCGAACTCCAAGGAAAATTCAAAACGGAAAGTCCCTTATCAAATGGCAAAATCAAAAGCTCAAACACATCAAACGAATGGAAAACAACTGTCATATTCCTGACTTGGTGTAGGCATTTCCTTATGTAGAAAATGGTGGATTAAACCTGGTTTTATAGCTAGCTTAACCTCTCGCTTGTATGACAGTCACATATAATTTTATTATATTGACAACAATGTGTGAGCAAAACAAACAGACAAAATAGGTAAAAATGTCAAAAATTGAGGAACAGCAGTCAACATTGTGTTATAATCTTAATCACTATAAAAACAAATAACTATTACAACAAAGAAAAACAAAATGACATATAGACACTCTTTAGACAAAGTACATAAGCAAAAATGAAAGACAAGAATACAAAAATGACCATAGCACAATAACACAATGGGGGGATGTATAAATATCGGGCCACGCCAAAACTATATTACCAAAAATGGACTAAATGGTAAAGGCTAAAAATATCCAAAGACAAATAATAAAAACACTATAACACGTAATCAAGATGATAAACAACGTCAGTACCTTAAATCTAAACTTCAAGACCATCCGATGTTTTATTTGTGAAGTTGATACGGATTATTTATCAACAAGGTCTTGGTATCTTCCGATGAATATTTTTAGAAAAAGGACGAGACGTTCTTTGACATAACCCATGTTCATCAACTTTCTGCTCAGACACTGGTGACGTTTTATAAAGTCTGAGTAGCGTAGCAGCTGCAAGCTCATGAATACCGAATGAGTTGAGAAATGTATATCCCATATGCAGGTGAAGTTGGTATATTGCTGCTAAGGAGGGGGAAATTTATAAGTTCAAAATTTAAATCGTCTCGTTTGTTATAGATTCTGGTACTGAGATGACAATTTATGTCGAATTCGAGCTATAACTCTAAAAATGAGGCGGAGGAAGACGTTTCTGTTGTTTCTTTAATTTTGGTTCTGTGGGGGACATGTTAATGGAACCCAATCAGAAAAGTTTGGATTGTTAATGGAAAGAACATCATCAATATATCTGAATGTGAAATCAAATGATCTGGCTTCTTTAATCTTCTTGTTTTTGACAAGTGTCTGAAGGAAATCCGACTCATATGAAAATAAGAAGAGGTCGACAAGGAGAGGCGCACAGTTCGTTCCCATAGGAATGCCGACAATTTGTTGAAAAAGTCTACCTCCAAATTCAACAAATACGTTGTTAATGAGAAACTCCAGCATACGTATCACTTGTTCCGCTGTGTAGCATGTTTTACCTTTTTTGTTCTCTTTTAACAAAATATGCCGTAAGGTATCCCAAAGCAATAAATTGATAGCGTATGCTAGCATTTTTATATTGAAAAGCATTGTGGATTATTTCTTTTAGACGATTTTTCAATTTCACATCGTGAATAACCTACTGTCGTCTAATTTAGGTTTTAAAGTGAAGGTAACTTTGGAAAGGCGTCGCTTAAAGGCACTATGTCTGAACGTTCTTATTTACTGAACAAATATTCAAATGAATAAAAAAATCTTTCAAATTCATTATATAATGAAATGAGTGCTAAAGTTTAAGCTTTCATGTCTATTTATACCAACAGAGAATGTTACTATCATACAGGTACAAAGACTAAGGATTCTGATACGGATCTTATTATTGCCTTTATGTTAGTGGTTACCTGGACGAAAAGATGTTTCAGAGTTATAATTATGTGGCTTTCTTGTCTGCTTCAGACACGAGGAGGACTGTGTAAATGAGCACCGCCCCTTGGTGTCTGTTGCAGTAGGGAAACCTACACTATTCTCAATACCTATTACTGCAGTATATTTTATTTGCTGTGAATACACATGATCTTTTGTTACATTTATGTTTGTTTTTCTGCATCAGATACGGGGAGGCTTGTTAGAGCTCTTAAGCTCACAATCCTAGAGCATCGTCCCTTGGTACCTGTTGCAGCTAAACAATCATTTATATTTATACATTTCCAGCAAAAATATTATAAAATCAAGTGAGAAAAAACGTTTACCGCATCTCTGGAGTAGCAACTCTTAAATACTTTTTTATTTGACATATAATAACCTGTATGACTTTGTATCAATACTTTAGGTTTATTATATGAATGTCATGTAAAATACTGTATGTACAATTATATATGTTATGTGTATATGCCCCTCTGGGGACCTAATTTGGAAAATAAAATATCTTATCTTATCTTATCTTATAATGTTGTATTCCTATCTTTTACAAACGGCATATTGATAATGTTTTTTAGGGATTCAATACGTAGTGAGGATGAACATAATTTCCCTCACAGACTTTGTCTATAATAAAAACCGTATACTTTTCAATTTGGACCGCTGAGCTAACAACCAAATATAGACTTACCTATTCTACAAACCCAATGGTGTTCACTGATACCTGGATCACGGTTTTTGCCTTACTAACTCTGCAGTGCGAATGTTTACTTTTACACGCGATGTCAAACGATGTTATATTTTTTGTCTAAAGACAGTACCCATTTCATTTCTTGAAAGATATTTTACCAGAAGGAGAGTCAAGCACTCTGGAACCTAAAACAAGGTGATAATATCACCTTGTTTTAGGTTTCTGAGTGCTTTAAACAAACATGTTCCTCTGGCACTGACCTATCTTCCATATATAATGTTAACATTTGCAACATTCACATCCTTAAAAGGCCAACTGCCTCATGTTACCGATGCACTTCTTGTTATACAACATTTCGAAAGAGGAACCCCTTACGGTAAGATTTGGTCTGAAGTATTCTTAAAGCGAAGTTCAGGCTTAGAGTAACGGCTGAGAGAAGTTCTCTCAGACTCAACTATATGCCCTTCGAATATTACTCAAGTCAAAAGCCCTCACAATAGCTTACTATTTGCTATCCAGAACAGAAGTTTATGCCATCATATGCGAATGTTGTGAGCATGTACACATCGTTATACACATGTCGACGTCTGGGTGATAGTTATTAAAAATATTTGCCTTATGTTAAAGACGAAAACAGTAACAGCCTAAATTGACAGTCACATCCGAAAGTTTGGTCGTAGCTTAAATACATGCTATATAGTGACCGTTCGTCTGATGACCGACGTGCTCTATGACAAAGAACTGTTTCCATCTAGGCATACTAAGAACGAATGAATCTTAATTTTACTGTTTATGATATGGACTGATTGAGATACATACATTTATTGCCCATCGTTGTACGCTACATGCATTGTCATACGGAGAGGTGATAACAAAATTTATATATTACCATCACTTATTTGTTCATTTTCATTTCCCATAAAATTTGTGTTAACTCTTACACTTTTTATTTTTATTGCAGGTTGTGAATCACATCATCTTTTTGGGAATAATAACTGTATGATCCATCTATTGTTTACATTTTAGGTTAGACAATACTTGGGCATCTTCTATTAAAATTTAAATCCCGTGGTCTAGTTTATAAAACAAATGTTTTAAACAAAGAAGGAATAGTACTGGTTTTCCACTGGACGAGAATGTGCGAATACGCTCTAAATTTTACTTAGAACAACATTCTCGTACATTATTCAGTGTTTACTTTCCAGTTTTATACACTTCCGTTAGGGTACCACTGGATAGAGGTATCGGGCGAAGTTTTTCCAATCGAATATTTATGAAAAGTTTGCTACTGGACTTTACACAAACAACAATCAATAAATCAATACTCTCATAACCACTCCGCAACATTTATTTCAGAAAGGCTTACTTCATCTGGAAGAAAGATAGATCTCTTGCGATGATTTCTAAACGAATGATGATACGTTGTTATACGATGCATTGTAATTAAGCATGACTGTGATTTTTTTTTTATTTAAATTAACTTATAATTACCAGTTTAGTCTCTGTATTTATTTGTTAAACTTTGTGAGTCAATTTTATCTACAAATATCCACCACAACTAAGCCACAACTAAAAGAAGCAAATGACAATAGCGAGAATGCAGAAATTGTTTATCACTGAATTGTTACAAATTGTGAAACGTTGCAACTATGAACATCATACTTACAAAAAAATATACTAATAGTAGTACATTATCAATTATCTCGTGAATTGTAAAGAAACGTCTTGAAGAAAATCCAGAAATCCCTTGCTCGTTATTTATATGAAAAATACGGAAAACTCTCTTAAAGAATTATTCTGTTACAGGAAACAATTGAAAATAACATATGTTCTAAAGAATAAGATATGTAAATACTTTACAAATCTATCATAATATACTTAATAACTTCGTACATCACTTGATCTTCAATGGTTTTAACAGTACATTTGATTACATTTCAAGATCTTTTGCTAATGAAGAAAATATCATAAATTAAGAATACGAAACAACGGATGTTTAATACACACAACTTCAGAATCTAGTACAGATACTTCAATTCAAAATATCATAAAATATGACTAAGCGCTGTATAACTTCAATTCGTAGTTACTGTACAGAGCCTCAATGATCTTTGTTAATGAATTATTAATAGAAAATTACAAATGAGCAATGTATCTTGTTGCAATTATTGTAACTTTCAATCAAACTATGTTCTAGGCTCCACGATGTCTACATGCACAATATCTATATATAACGTAAGACAATGGTCACTTCCTCGGCATTTCACAACATACCAAGTATTATGTAACGTGATTTCATGACAAAGATCGATCTAAAAATCGAAATAAATACATACTTGCACTCTTAGCTTCAAAAGCATTGAAGTACGTAAATGCCTACATTGATTATGAAAGTGTATGTACCAGTGTGGATGGGCGTGACATTGATGGAAATCTCTTAATTAGTTGTGAGGACGTCTTGTTAGCCTACAACCTCGTCTTTTAATGGAAGTTACAGAGGTGAGCAGATAAATATTTTCACTTGGTTCTTCTTTCTACGTATACTGTGGGTTCAATAATTTCAAATTGAAATGTTTTCCTGTATAATAAAACTATTGTTATAAAAAACAACTAGCATCTTCTTATGTACGTTAAACGCCAATTGATCATCATATTCAAATGTTAATAAAAAAAAGCTTTCTATTTTATAGGTATTTTCGGTGAGTTTCTTTCTAAGACCAAGTATCTTGCTAGGAGAGTTTTTGAAATAGAAATCTATTGCAATAAAATTTCCTGTACCAATTTGTCTGCACCAGATGGAAAGCGACAACGCTTAGTATAATATATCTCATAAAGATAGGATGAACATTATTAGCATATATTTCCCAATTCACATCAACGTTAAAGAAAGCAACCATATTGGTCAAGGCAAGCTTCAACACGATAAAACACAGGCAAGCTTCAACACGATAAAACACAGGCAAGCTTCAACACGATAAAACACTCCTTAACTATTACAGCTTTACCTGGCTCCATTTAGTCCTTTTCAGAGATTTTTATATTATATAATAGACTGTCACGGCTTTGAAGTGTAGTTTGTGAGCAGGTGCTTCAATAGATGTTATGACTGACCATGCGCACAAATTGGTGAAAAAGCCTACCTTTAGAACTGTTTCACAAGTGAAATCAAAATCTTTTTGGTACCAATATCGCCGATCTCGTTATTTGCACGAAATACGACTGGTACTCTTATCCAGTTATCGAGGAAAGCAATTACATGTGTGTCCATGTAGAGCCGCCCGGTGTGTAGCATAACTACAGTGAGAACATAATTATTATGAAAGATATATCCTCAAAGAACATATTTACTTATATACAGATATGCCCTCTAAGACCATATTTATTTATAGAGATATCCCTCTTAGAACATAGTTAAGTTCAAGTATGCACATCAAAATTGTATAACACTCTTAATTATTTCTGTAAAAAGGCAATAGATTTTTTTTATATTCTGTGTCTTCTAATGATTAATTGCTCTCTCTCTCTCTCTCACGCAAACGGATCATGATAAGATGAAAAACACATCACACCGTAAATAAGAGATATGTCTATGCACGTTTAAACTGCTCTGTTCTGTAGTTCCATTAATGAATTTTAATATTTCTTTACACTATCTGTGATGGCTACGTCATAAAACAGAGAAATCATATGTAAATCTCAAGCTTATCATTCGTTGTGTAGGTAAACATTTTTTGCTGAAAGGAATACATGATTTAAAGCTTTGTCAACTCACTGGATTTACGGAATTAATATGTCTAGTATTTTTATGGCTAATTACCGCCTAGGACAGTTGAGGAAAAGGGATAAAGAAGAACAACAGAAACAAAAACGGTCAGTATGTTTTAAGAAACATAATTCATTTTGAGGTTTTTTTCAATGTATCATAATTAGATTTCGTCGGGTTAAAGACATAGACAATATCTTATTATGAATTAAAATAGATTTAGGATATTTGTCAATGAGACAGCAATCCAATGGCATAAAAACAATAGATATATAGATGTTACCATCCCGTATTCAACAATACTAGACAAATGTCTATCCAACGCCAAATCCTAAGTCTACCCGAGCCTAAAACAGTTTTAAATAAAATAAACTGAATCTAAACAATTTATGCTGACAACACCAAATTCAATAAATGACAAAAAGATATATAATAAAGTAAATAGGATAATCTTAAAAATATCTTATAAAAATTACAAGATATCTCATACATTATCTGTTTGAAAGATATAAGATATATAATTTAGTTTAAAAGATATCTTATAAAGTATATAGGATATCGTATTAGCTTCAAATTAAATAAGATATCTCATAAATAATGCAAGTTATTTTATATACTTTATAAGATATCTTAATAACTTTATAAGATATCTTGAAATTGAACAAGTATAAAAACGGCTTGCCATATGTAAACTGCAGTTTTAGGTCTCAATCATACATTTTTTCATGTCGAACTATGCAAGTGAAAAACATAAGAACGTACAAAATAGGTCACATAAGTCGTACTGAAAATGCACCTGACCTTTTCAAAAATAGTATATAAAATAAAAAGAAATAAAAAGTCAAAATATAATTCTAGTATAGGCATGCAATTTCCTTTATCAAGGATTGCTTGCAGTAACTGAAATCCAGCTGAAATTGTAACGTGTCGTTTTCTTTTCCTCCGTTTTCTCTTTGTCCACGGTGGTACTGTATTTCTTCGGCTTGTCGTTTTTAACCCATTTTCGGTATCTCCCATTTATTCTGATGTTTTTAACTATAAATAAGTCAGCTGATGATAATCCGTATATATGATATTTTAAATGAAAAGCTGTTTATTCGATATCACAACCAATTCAGTTTCAATTATTAAAAAACCCAAATCTGCTATAAATGCTACAATAGCAAACATCTAAACGTTAAAAAATTGATAAGGGGTTCCGCGGAACCCTGTGTCCCTCCTGCGATTGCTGCTGTCAGTGTAAAAGTGTAATGTTGACTTAAAAAGTGAGTCTGTAAGTCCATTTATGGATACTGTATTTTGGTCATAAACAAGCTTCTGTCCAAATTTCATAAATTTCCATGAAGGTTTGAGAAAGTTATTGGAGACTGAAAAACATTAACCTCAGACTGAGCCTGAGTGTTAACTGTAAAAAAAAACTACGTCTATTTATCAGTAAAATACGGAAAAATATAAAATAGATATTTTCAAAATTTTACTCTGGATACTGTGTTTTTGGTCATTAACAAGTTCTGTCCATACTTCATAAAATTCCATGTCGGTTCGACTTATTAATGTCTAAAAAAAACTTCAGCCTCAGACTAAATCTGAATGTTAACTGTAAAAAAAGACTAAGTTCATTTATTAAAATACGGAAAAATGAAAATTTTGCTCTGGCTACAGTATTTTGGTCATAAACAAGCTTCTGTCCAAATTTCATAAAATCCCATGTAGGTTTGGCAAGGTTATTGATGTCTAAAAAAACTTTAACCACAGACTGAACCTAAATGTTAACGCCGCCGACGACGGAATCTATGATTGATATGTCTCGCCTTCGCGAAATAAATAAGTTTTGAGCGTTCCTGATGAATGTAAAACCAGAAAACTACATAAGAGGCACGTAATTTATAAAGTCTTGTTTTCATTTATTTACAATTCATCCTACTCCGTATTAAATCACTGTTGAACTGTTTTAAATTGATAATTTAGCATATATTTCTGAATCACATCAACGTTTAGTACTTTCACATATTTCTTCACAAATATTTATAAATATATAGTTTCAATCTTCAACAATTAGAAAACCCCATACGGTATAAAAGTTCCCGACATGACAAAACATGTGAAACAATACATTAGAGAAAACTAACGTCCTTATTAATAACAAAACAAATTACGAAAAAGAAATATGACGGACATGAACTAACGACAACCACCAAATTACAGGCTCCTGACTTTGACAAGCACATACAGAATGTGGTGGATGTAAACATAAGAACAAACTGTAACCACCAGTTGTAAATGGCTGAACTCAATAGATTGGTACAAAGAACAAACTGTAACCACCAGTTGTAAATGGCTGAACTCAATAGATTGGTACAAAGAACAAACTGTAACCACCAGTTGTAAATGGCTGAACTCAATAGATTGGTACAAAGAACAAACTGTAACCACCAGTTGTAAATGGCTGAACTCAATAGATTGGTACAAAGAACAAACAAACAACATAAAAACAATAGCACAAAAAGTTTCTGAAAGCTAGTCCCAGACTAAAGTATCAATCAGTACACATTTGTCAAATTTAGTGTAAAATTTCATCAACAGTTTGAGAAAACCATGACATTGTGCAATGTCAAAATATAAGTAAACAGTATCGACAGAATGTATGATCATAAGTACTCATAACTGTATAGCTATATATTTAGTAATGTGTTAATTTTGCAAAAACGTCATCAATACTACTCATTTTAGTATTAAATCTCACTGTATGAATGCGGCCTATAGTGTTTTTACCTTGTCCTCCTTTCCGTCCGTAAATATTTCTATCGCACCTTTTCCATGTACTACTGAATGACTTCACGGCAGTGATGATTTGTAGTGTGGGAGTCTGTAAAGGATCGGTCAGACACAGACATCCTGTTTACAGATTTTCTTTAAACTTTGTTTCATATTTGATTAGCTGCTTGACAGTTGTGAGTGGTAACGTGTGAGCACGGATATGTCAAACTCATACTTCCTGTTTTCCAAAATTTTTCAATATGTTGAATAAACTTAAAAGTATGTGTCTCATGCACATTTCTTTAAAACTACTGATTTTCCTACCGAAGGTCGGTGGTTCTCTCAGCGCACCCGACTTCCTCCACCAATAAAAAACTGACCGCCACAAAACAGCCAATAGTCTGAAAGTGGCGCTACACACTAATCACTCAATCAATCAATCAATCAATCAATTAATACTACTGAAGAGAATGACTTTATATTTAGTCAGATGCTTGGCAGTAATTAGTTGTAACGAGTGAGCGCTTTTTTAATCTGTCAGACACATACTTCCTGCTTACTTTAAATTACAAGAGGTGGTATCCTGACCACAACAACAAGTGTATTGACGTTCTTTTCAGTACCGATTCAGTGCTGAGTGATTTAAATTAATGTTAATTAAAACGTTAACATGTCAGTATTAAACAGTATATCATTACAAAACATTAACGTAACGATTGGCCACAAAACATTATGGAAAAAAATCAACACTCAAACTGCAACGAAAACTTTAAACGTTTTGCACTTATACATTACTGATACAGCCCTGAAATATCAGTATCAAAAGGTACTAAAATAAAAGTAAAATATATCTATAAAAAGTTTTCAAACATACTGAAGCTATCAAATAAGTCATGTGTAAGCTTAATTGGAAAATATAATCCTGATATCTAAGATGAGTTTAATTACATGCGATAATAATAATCCATGTTTTCGATTACACTTAACATGGCTTGATAAGGGATTATGTGGACGGCCAAATCAGAAAATTGCTCCAAACTCAGAATCCCAAAATGGATTTTCAGTAACCAATAAAATAAACATCGGTATGTTCCACCTGACGTGACCACAATCCCGTCTTTTTTTCTTCGATTGTGAAAGTTTGAATCTGCCCTTTGTGTTTGCTCTCTTTTGTATGACTATACCACTTGTTTCGTTACAAATACCTAAAGAGCTTTATTTAAGGTGTACATCTATATTTGTTCAAAGACAAGTGTCTGTGCTATTAACCAGTCGTGAGCCGAATCATTCGCAACAAAAAGAAATTTTTCGCTGTTATTTTTAGCGGTATTCACTTCAAATATAAGATACAGCATTGATTTGAGAAAATAATGACAATTCTTAAATGTAACAATAAAAAACATCCCCAAAAAATCTGACATAAATCAACAAAATTCACACTATGACACAGGTATATCAGTTGAATATTTTCAATAACAGGTGACAATACAATTTTGCTTAAATACTTTTAGATAATGTCTTTTAAATCTTTCATTTTAGGACCCGTAAAATAAAGTCTGAGCAGCATGTGACAGAAAGCATTAGATCAGATACCTCAACACCAAGCTACAAAACAACCACAGTATGCCACAACACCTCAACCCCAAGCCACACAACAATATCAAGCCACAAAACCTCAACACCAAACCACACAACAACAAGAGTAAGCTGTAAAAAAGAAAGTGTCAAACTAACAATAGTCAGAGACAAATGATCAATTGGAAACAGCCGGTGACATTGTTAAAACAAGCTTAGTAGAAATATAAAAAAAAATGTTTTGTTTAAGTATATTGTTTTTAACTGACTTGAATTGTTGTTGCATATTACGTATATATGTTATACTAGTAATTGAATACATTCTAAAAACTGGTCAGCTTAGGAAAGTACTGCAACTTAGATATTAGATATAAGAAGATGTGGTATGAGTGCCAATGAGACAACTCTCCATCCAAGTCAAAATTTATAAAAGTAAACCATTATAGGTTAAAGTACGGTCTTCAACACGGAGCCTTGGCTCACACCGAACAGCAAGCTATAAAGGGCCCAAAAATTACTAGTGTAAAACCATTCAAACGGGAAAACCAACGGTCTAATCTATATAAAAAACGAGAAACGAGAAACACTTATGAACCACATCAACAAAGTTAACGACAACTACTGAACATCAGATTCCTGACTTAGGACAGGTGCAAACAATTGCAGCGGGTTTAAACGTTTTAATGGTACCAAACCTTCACCCTTATCTGAAACAATAATGTAACATCACAACATAGAAAGACACATATTTATTTAATTATATTTAATTTTGTAGCAGTATCCTTTCGTAAATTTCATTAACAGCATATTTAAATTTTGTCACAATCATGTTTCAAAGTAACTTTCCAATTAGACGCATTTCTACAAAGTCCAGGCAAAATAGAAAAAATCTTACCACCTCCTCCCATATAGGTGATCATTATAAGTTTCATAACGAGTGAAAGTTGGTCCAATTTTCACGAGCTGTTAAACCTATTTCATTGTGTTCAATAGAAAAGTCGACGTTGATCTAGTCCTTTGCGCATTCCATTATGACGTAAGACGTAAAATATACGGCAGCGTCAACCTTTAACATCAGACAATAATTTAATTGTGTATCTAACACGTCTTCTGGTTGGCTGAAAGTTTTTTTGTCTATCAGCTCATAGACATAATTTTGTCATGTGACCGTGACGTCATCAACGTTTTTTTTCATGATTTACTAGTTAAAAAAATATAATTTAGAATTTAATTTTAAGGAATGACTGTAATATTTTTTCTGTCTATTCGAAATAACCTAAAAAATGTGGTGTACACTTTTAATATTCAATGTGCACCACATTTTTATGTTATTTTTTCATAGACAAAAAAAATATTACAGTCATTCCTTAATTAAAAAAAATTGTGTACGCTTAAAATGTAATACAATTTGACAAAAAATTATTTTAAGGTGAAAAGTAGAGTGTTTTTATCTTATTGAAGTAATCGCCATGGAGAAGATGTACATCGTTTTGACCTTTGAAAGTCATGCATGACCTAATAACCTAAATAACCAATAACGAAGAGAACAAATAATTTATATTTAAAGTGTTAAGCAGAAGGTTAATAGAATTAAGCTAAACTCCCATCCATATATTTTCTTTATACAACTAAAAGCTTACACAACGATGTCAAATTAAGTTTTTGATACGCTTTATACATTTTAATTAAAAGTTGCACCAAATATGATCATTATTTAAGAAATCCCATATGCCCTCAAATTTGAAATGTTCACTTCCTAGCAGGAACCGGAGCATGGAAGTAAAGGTTATGAATTGGACTTATCATCGATCATACAACTTTACTCAGTACTTGGATAACAAACTGTGTGCTCGAAACACCAACTTTAGTATTTTGATTGGTTGAATTCTGAGTCTGAGTACGATAATCGTACTCGAAATTTTTATGACCGTTTTATTGCCAAGGCATTTGTCAGTGTGTTTTATTGCCAAGGCACTGTCAGTGTGTTTTATTGCCAAGGCACTTGTCAGTATGTTTTATTGCCAAGGCACTTGTCAGTGTGTTTTATTGCCAAGGCACTGTCAGTGTGTTTTATTGCCAAGGCACTGTCAGTGTGTTTTCGACTTCTGAGTCTAAATATCCTTTTGGTATCGTTTACCTTTCTTTTATGGATATGCAATTATGAAAACAAAAGGTTACGTATACATTTTCCCCCTCAATCGTAATCTCAGTTAAAGTTCAGAATTGTTGCGGAGTTGAAGTTTTGAGTTATGAATAGTAGATTTATTTCGTTAATTAAATATCTATACAATAAGACTGTACATTTCCTCCATAAACTGAGCAGAAACCTTCACAATAAGACTCGATATATTAACGCCATTAGCTGAGCATAAACATCTACAATATGGCTCGATACATTGCAGCCATAAGCTGAGCAGAAACATCTACAATAAGACTCGATACATTACCGCCATAAGCTGAGCAGATGGTATTCTTAATAAAATGTCTCACTATCAGATCAGTAAATAAGTTTAGATGTTCATTAAAACGTGAAGCTTCATCTTAAAATATTTGTTTAGATGTACATGTACATATAAAGAGCATTTCAAAATGACCTGAAACTGATCATCTATTTCAAAATTATTATGAATCGCAATATTTTAGTTTGATAAAAATTAGAGTGGTGCGATACTTTTTCCGTGTGTATATATCCTCTTCAATTTGTTTAATACTATTTTTGTCTCACTGCCCAATTTCGAACTCTGCCTGCGAGTTTTAGCTCTTAGCATTGTGTATAAGTTTCATAATTTTGCATGAGGCAAACTTGAGAGAGTGCGGAAACGAAAATATTTGCAGTTTTCAAAGTTTTAACGGGGCATAACTCTAGAACGGTTAGTGACTCACTTCCCAAATTCGAACTGTGTCTGCGATGATGGTTCTTCGCAGTATGGAGCACAAACAAAAAAAAAGACCAAAAGACAAACAACAGTATACAAACCACAACATAGAAAACTGAGCAACACGAACCCCACCAAAAAGGCACCCGTCGTGTTGCTCATGTAAGTGTAAACCTGGTGATAAGTCTAATACGGTAAGTTACATTGGGGAAAAAGGAGGATGGGATCGTGGTTACGACGATTGGAATATATGTTTCATTCTGATACAAAAATGTATTACACTTTCGTATGGATCTTTGAAAAGTTCTAGTATTAATAATTCTATGTCGGTCCATTACGGAACACCTTGCCCAATGATGTCAGTAGCCATGTTGTCAACGTTTTGAACAGAAAATGTTATTTGTACCCTTGCTGAATAAGTTTGGACTTAATATTGATATTTGTTAGGCTCAGTTGTAAGAGGTTTGATCAATTTAGATAAATGTTATTGTTTAAGTTTTTACCAATTGCCTAGGCTATGTGGTCAAAGTATTGACTTTTTCAAGATATTGTTATAGTCTGTTAACAATGAAGATATCATAAATGATAATGAATAAATTATTATCTTTAATTTTAATTTAATTATGGTTTACAAAAAAAAAACATAGGCGTTTAACCGACAAACAAGTATCATCTTTTCCCCGCCCACGAATTAAGATTTCATAAATTTTATAAACTATTATTCCGTTTTATTATCAGGGAGGTTATATATAACCTGTATGATTACTAATAATCATTATTATATTAAGTAAATAAAAATGAACAGGTCGATGACATTGCACTAACAACGTTGTGAGTCAGTAATCTATGGTAATTTAAGCAATGTATAAAATTAACACATATGTGCGGGATATTATCTAGGAGGATTTATTGGCAAATTGCTCTCCTACATTGCATTCACGTGTACTTACACATTGAACGTGGGAATAGTATACTAACTCTCAATATATTATGTTCCAGATTGAATGAACAATGAATATGTAGAAATTTTATTCAGGATTACGCTACACAGATATGTGACTAGCCACGATGTTTCTAGGCTTATGGGGATACCTTGTTTAAAATTCTATCTAGTACATTTGTGTAACATTTCATACCGATATAACATGTTACTTTTATTATTCTTCCCTTAGTTTATTTATTTTGTATTTCCATTGTGTCATAGGTCAAATTTATTTGTTCAGTGTATGTTCACTGGTGTTAATATGTCCTTTGATTGAGTTAAGCTATTTCAGTTGATATTTTATAGTGTGTCTTTCTATGTTGTGATGTTACACTATTGTTTCAGAAAAAGGGTGAAGGTTTGGTACCATTAAAACGTTTAAACCCGCTGCATTTGTTTGCACCTGTCCTAAGTCAGGAATCTGATGTTCAGTAGTTGTCGTTTGTTGATGTGGTTCATAAGTGTTTCTCGTTTCTCGATTTTTATATAGATTAGACCGTTGGTTTTCCCGTTTGAATGGTTTTACACTAGTAATTTTTTGGGGCCCTTTATAGCTTACTGTTCGGTGTGAGCCAATGCTCCTTGTTGAAGGCCGTACCTTGACCTATAATGGTTTACTTTTATAAATTGTAACTTGGATGGAGAGTTGTCTCATTGGCACTCATACCACATCTTCCTATATCTATGAACAATAACCACAAAAATCAATCCTAACCTTCCTTTTGTTTTATGGAACCTTGTGGTACAATTTCATAGAGATCCATACACTTATTCTCAAGTTATTGTCTGGAAACCAAATGTCTTCGGACGACGACAACGACGACGACGGTGACAGCGTCATAACATTATACGACCGCAAAATTGGTTGTATAAAAAGCACCCAAAGCATAAATTCAGTATAGAATTAACGTGTATGTCCCCAAATACGAAATTTTACATAACGTTTTTCTCAAAATGACGTTCTACCTTCATAAGCCTGAAAGCGGGTCACATATTTGTCTCGCATTATAAAGACGTAAACGTCCCCAAATAGCAGATTTCTAGATTGCTCTAAAATGTTTTATTACATAAACATATAGTAATGAATGATAATGTTTACTACATGTTTTTACTGTTATGCAAAATTAATCATATTTATCTGTGGTCGGTTATGTCATCATGATAATTAAGTCATGTCATGAACCCCAGTCATATTATGATAAACTGCTATAACATTTGACAACAATAATTATGGAAAATTGTATCAATTCTATATTGTATTTGTTCTGAAAAAGGGTGAAAAAATCAAATTTTACGGCTTCATACGTAATGCTTATTTCGAAGTTTTCTATTTGATTATCACGACCCAATGCATTATTTCATATTACAAAAAAAAACTTGCAAAAACACATTTTAAAGAGTGTCACAAAT